CCTGAAATGGAATATTTCTGAACAGGAGCTCAGAATCTAAATCCCAAAGAAACAGCCATGGAGGCCTGTCAGGCGGGTGGGAATCTAGATGGAGAAGATGGGCTTCTGCTTCCATTTTCCATCCAGGGTCTGAGGGAGGAGTCCCCCAGCCCTCTGCTCTGCTACTTACTGAGGCCTAACGTGGGATCGCTGAGACCATCCAAGTGACACACAGGGAGAGAAGCAGGTCCCAGCTAGGAAGCGGAGAGCAAGAGGCTTGACACAGGCAGGGCTGCACTGCTACCTGCACAGGCCAATAAGCGACAGCTTCCCTGATGGCAGGAAGAGCCAACCATCCGTCTGTCCATCTGTCTGGGTCCAGGCTGTGGGGAAAGCAAACGTGCTCCACCTTCACAACCTCTCAGCGCCTCTCTCAGATTCAGCAATAAATAGCTAATACCAGCTCCCATTTCATGGGCATGTACTATGTGCCAGGCACATCTCATTCACGACAGCCATTAAATTGTAAACTTATTTTTTTAAAAAAGATTTTATTTGTCAGAGAAAGAGAGAGAGAGCACACACAGAGGGAGAGGGAGAAGCAGGCTCCCTGTTGCACAAGGAGCCTGACGCGGGACTCGACCTCAGGATCCTAGGGCCATGACCTGAGCTGAAGGAAGACACTCAACCGACTGAGCCACTGAGCCATCCAGGTACCCCAAGATTTTAAAATTCTTATCCCTGTTTTACAAAAAGGGAACTAACACTAAAAGCGAGGATGTGTGGCTCAGCCTCTGCTATCAGGGGCTGTTTCTCTCTTTTGTCCGCTGAAAGAAGCCAGACCTGACCAGGTTAACTCCAGGGTCCTGGGGTGATACAGCCCACAGTTTAAGGGAGAAGGAGCATAACAGAGAACTCTGTTCCTGATGGAGCTCGTGCCGAGCTACATGCCCCACCCTGAGCCCCTTTAGAACAAGCCACCCCCTGTAGCTTCTCCTTGGCCAGGGAGCCCTGCCCCTTGGTGTACGGGGTCAGGCACAGACCCTGTGACCCCACAGTGGGTGCTGAGGGGCTGGGTACAGGGAAAGGGGTCCAGCTGCATGCACTGGAAGTCCCAGTAAGGGAAGCCAGGAGATCAGATCATGTGGGTGCTTCTGCTCAGGAAGGCAGACTGAGGGAAAGCATGCCATCAGAACTCTGTGGCCCAGTGGGGGACACGCCCCTCAGAGGGCCTCCTGGATGCTTCTCCAAGCCACAGAGTTTGGAGGCTGCCACATCCCAGAAAAGGTCCTAGGAGATGGCTTGTTGATCCCCTGGAAGCTGGGACTAATGAGCAATTGGAAGCTGGCACCAAGGGAAGGGATAACCTCAATGCCCTTTGCATCAGAAGTCCCCAAAAGGGGGTGGGGAAGAGAGGATTGCAGGGTGGATTACAGACATTCCTAGGTGGGCACAGCTCTTCATGTTATAACTGGCAGCCCCAATTCCCTCCTCCACCCGGGACCCGAGCAGATCAGGATACCTAGACAGTGATGGCTTGTTAAGGGAAGATTCTGGAAATAAGCCAGGTGGCTCTGCTGGGTTCTGGGAGGAGTTCTGGGTTCCCTGGAGGTGGTGGCCTTGATCCGGGAGGACAGGGAAGCCAGGCTTTCTCGTGGTGGGCCAAGACCTGACAGCGGGATATACTACAGACTTGACAATTCAGGTGCTGGGGCTGATGTGGATTTGGTCTTGACTGTATGGGGCAGGAAGTCCCGCTCTGGGAGGTGGCCCAGGGGTTGGGAGACAAGTTGGTTCCCATGCAGGTGTGACTGAGGACCCATTCCCTTGGCTCTAAGATCACTCCTGTTTCCAGAAGCAAATTTTCTGCCACCGAAGCGAGCTGCTAGGTACCAGCCTTGTTGTTAATGGGGAGATTGCAGCAGTGTGTGGCTCCCTTTTCTCTTGTCCTCCTCCTGTCAACCTGACTTCCAGGCTCTCAGAACCCTGCTGCTTCAGTATTAGTGGGAGATGGGATTGACGCCTAGGGAACCGAGGCTCCCTATAAGGAGCATCATCTGTATGCAGCAGACTTCAATCTTGGGACTTTATTTAAGGGCATCAGAGTGGTGTCTGGCCACTGCTGATGTTCATCAGGCCACTGGGTTTTGTGGCTGAGCACAAACAAGGGAGCATAGGGGCCATGCAGCCAAGGAGAACTTGGCAGAGTCTGGGGCTCTAGCCTTCCGGTGACATCATTGTCCCAACCTGCCAGGATGAGTCCCACACCCCAGAGATCTGGCTTTCCTGAGCTTTCTGCTAGGGAGAGAAATGGAAACAGAGTGTGTGTGTGTGTGTGTGTGTGTGTGTGTGTGTGTGTGTGTGTGTGTGAGATTAATGGGGCTGGTGGCAAGTGGGGAAGGAGGAGAGGTGGTACTTTTTTTTTTCTAACAGTAAATCCTGCCCAATAAACCCGCAAACCAAGGAGCCACACAGACTTAGGTGGATTAGAGTGGGTTCAAGTCATTTATTTTTAGACTGTACCAGCATGTTTGGTTCTGGGGTCCCAAACCCCAAATTCCAGAAAAATAAACTAATGAGAACCACATGCACTATGAGAAGGCCATTCCGACATGTCTGTGTTCATGCTGTGAGTGAGCATAGTATATAGACCAGGAGCCCTCCCTGGGCAGGTGACAGCAGCTGGCTCTGAGCCCTCCTTGGGACTGGGGAGAGGGCCAAGACCAGATCATTTGGACCCCGTCCCTTTAAGGCCCCAAGCCCCTTATTGCTACATTTGCTACTTTGCTACTTGATGGCCCCTGGGTCGTGCCCAGGGGAGGCCTTATCACTGGGTGGTACTAATGAGGAGGCTGCTGGCATTTGTCCTTGCCATCGTGACCATAGCACAGAACTCTTTTCAGAGGGTCTCAGGGTGAGTTATGGGGGATTCATTTGACCACTACTCAACTATGCCACATACTCAGCTTGACCAGCCCTGCTGGAAGCCGGTGGCCCATTATCTCCCCCCAACCCCAGGGCTTTCCAGCTCCTGGACCTTGCTGGAACATCTCCTTCCGACATATTCTGCAAGGTCCAAAGACCAAGAGCCTGCTATCTTTTCCAGCGTGGAGCAAGGCTTCTTAGTGGTGGCTTTTGAAGCCCATGCATTTGGAGCACAATGGGAAGGGTGCATTTTAGGAGGAACATCAATTTCCACCAATAGCCAAAAGGCCGGCTGGGTGGCAGCCTCCTGGTTCAGTGTCCTGTTGGTGAGGTAGTTTGAACACACCAGCAATCCTGCCAGGAGAAGCACGCCTGGAGCACGTCCCCACACGTCCACTGGTCTCAGCAACAACTCGGAGTGGTGAGCGGGGCCCTGGGGGTTTGGCCTGGACCTGACCCCTCAGCCTTGGTGGGCCAGGGGCACCACTCACCTGACTGCCCTGGGGGACAGCCACACCTGACAGTAGAACAAAGCATCACTTTCTGGAATGGAAGGAGCCCTCTCCCCAGCGAAAGTGTTCCTGCTGCTTGGGCTGAGCCCTCCGGCTGTTGCCGAGCACCTGCACTTGCCAGCCTCCAAGTTTTCTTCTTCCCATGAGGCAAAGGTGATCTCAGTCCGATGTCCAGTGCCTGGCGCCCGTGCGTCTGACTTGCTGGCTGGGTGGTTGCTTCTGTGGCTTCCCTGAAGCTTTGGCTGTGGGGCTGCCAGCATGATCTGTGTCCTGGGAGCTCTCAACGGGAAGAGTCCCAGGTCCAGAGACTGTGCCCAGTCAGGGGAGCTAAAGAAGCTTCCGGAAGCAGGGGGACCTGCTTTGCTATGGAACGGCCTTCAAAAGTCTAATCCGGTTTGAAGTTTTGGCTGTGTAGACCAGGCCAATGGGGAACTAGCCAAGATCATATTTTCCAAGTGTGCTTGCATTCTAAGGTCTGCACAGTAGACTGGCCTTGGACTAGCCAACTGGGCAGAGCAACCGCACCCTCCACCCCCCGCGTTGCTTGGCTTGATCTACGGGGGAGCATGTGGTGGTCACAAGACTGAGCATGCCTGCTTGGGAGATGGGTGACGGGGTTTATTGCTCTGGGTCTGAATGCATCCGGAACACCCTTACCTCTATTGAGCCTGCTGGCCCGCCCTTCCCCCCGGATGTCCCCAGGGGTGTTTGGAAACCTTCAGCCTGCACCATCTCAGGGGTACAGTCCACCTGGCTCTGGGTGGGCCTTCTGAGGACCTCCAGGGCTGGCCACGTGTCGGCCAGTATCGCTCGGAAGCAGAGGCCAGGAGGACTGGGGAAGCCAACCCTGCCCTGTCCACAGCCCATGGGGAAGGGCAAGAGGCGGCCAGGCCTTTTCTAGAACATCCTCTGTCCACATACCCTGTGCCTCAATGTCAACACAGCTTGTGGACCCTTGACAGAGAGGAGCTTCTTTGGGGCGATGTTGGTTGCAGAAAAGCTTGGGCTGCATTTTGGTTCTGAGAAAGGAGCCCTGTGTGAAAAGCAAGGAGATAAAAATGGGTGGGACAAGGAGAGGAGTCCAAAGACCCCATAACGTGGAATAGGGCTTCCTCTCATTCACTTACTCATCAAGTAGTTACCGAGCATCTACAAGGGCCAGGACCCATGCTGAGGTTATGTGGAACCAGGGTGCGGGAGTGCCTGACGGGAATCCGGGTCTATATTGCCACTGCTGGAGACAACCTGAGGACCCAACACATGTCATCTACTAGCTACTGTACCTGGCAGAGAGAGCAACTACCACCAGTGGGGGAAACTGAGGCATAGTGGTCAAGAACCCACAAGGGTGCCACCCTAGCCAAGTCTCCTAATGCCCACAGTGGCCCTGCTGTGAGGAATGGAAGGCTGGTGCCATGGGGATAGGGCCCGTGGAATCAGACATACAATGGCACAGACATGGGGCTGTAAAGATGGTCACGGAAGCACCCAGGAGGCAGGGTCTGCAAACAAGCTTATGAGCCTTTGGTCACCAGCTGGTGAATTTGCCTACATGAGTAAAGAAATACCAGTGATCACTTTTTTTTTTTTTTTTTTGCTTCTATGTTTGCTGTTTATACACTCCCCAGAGAAAATTTTCACCTATGGCCAAAAATAGATCGAAGGAGGCTAGTTCTAGCAGGTGAAGTGAGTGTCCGAGTTCAAAAACATGTTGCTTAATACCGCTCCGTCAGAGGGCTCACGGGCGTCACAATGGTGACAGTGACAATGAGGAGAGTAATAGCTACCATTTGCTGAGCACCTACTACGCGCCAGGCACCTGATTCAGTGTGTTACATATATTACCTCACGGCCAATTGGCAGATAGTCATTTTGACATACACATGAAGGGAGCACAAGTGGGTTTTTTTTGCAGGTTTTGCTTTGTGTCTGCTTTTTTCCCTTGAGGACCAACTCTGTTTCGCCTTGCCTTTGCTGGGCTGTCCGAGAAGCATCTGGCTCTGGCCTAGGCCCTCTGTCGCAGGTTCAGCCCCAACTCCAGACACAACTGAGACCTGGCCCAGCCAGGGGCCCATCAGGATGCCACAGGGTGGGCCCCAGCAGCCAGCGGGACGACTCAGCCACCTCCCCCCAACCCCGGGGCCGGGAACTCTCCCAGCTTCCACCGGGGCTGCCGGAGGGGAGGATCCCAGGGGCCCCTGCGTTCATGGCCATGTTTATTTTGAGTAAAACACGAGGGAACAAGCCAAGGAGAAGGGGGCAAAAACAGAATGAGTTAGGAAGTAATAAATGTTTTAAAAGATGGTCAGAACCTCCACCGCTGTCAAGCTACAAGCTCTTTCAGGGACGCCGGTGCTTCCTCTGGTGTGGGACCCTTGAGGCATGTGACAGGACCAGAGGGCAGCCCTGCGCCCGTGGGGACCTCTTGGAAAGCCGGCCTCCAGGGCGCTGGCAGAACTGAGGCAATCCGCGAGGTTGCTCAGCACGGTCGCCACGACGGGGACGTGTGGCGCGGGGGGGCCTTACATAGACTCGGGGCGAGGCAGGGGGCCGTCGGGACACAGTGGCCATCACTACGGGGGTGTGGTGGGTGCCCCAGAGCCAGACGGGGGGGGGGGAGGGGGAGGCGGGGCGTAACACTGGATGTGCTCGGGGCCAGCCGGTCCCTCTCGCGTGTGCCGGAAGGCGTGATCCCCCAGACAGAGGGAAGAGTGGCGGGAACAAGATTAGAATCTCAAGTGGTGGTCACGACAGGAGCCCCACGAGGTGGTGTGCTCCGAACGAGTTAGGGCCCGGGACCTCCTCGGGAACGGGGTGTCGGCGCACAACTGTACAAGGAAGAGAGGGTTGTAAACAGGGCCGACCCCGGGCTCTGTGGGCCTGTTCTCTCTGGTGTCCCCGGTCACCCACCGGGGCCCCCCTCTGCCGCCCGTCCTCGCCCTCACTCCTTCTCTTTCACAGTGACCAGGTCTCCCCGTAGGGAGACTCTGTCCGCGGAGGTGGAGCGCCGCCGCCTGCCCGTGGGGTCGTCGGGCCCGGGCCCTGCGGCGGGAACCGTCAGGAGGACTGCATCAGGCCGGTGAGGCGCTTGCCCGCCAGCGACTTTCCCTGCAGAGACAGGCGACAGAGTTGGCACGCACAGGCGCGCACGCTCACGCACACCGCGCGCACGCACGCACACGCACCCCACGCACACGCACGCGCGCGCACACACACACACACACACAGGGACAGAGACCGAGACAGAGAGCCAGACAGGTGAATTAATTGCTGCACGAGCCCCGAAGGCCAAACGACTTAGCTAACGGACCCTGCTGATCTCTGGGTTCGTTCGGGGCCTTGACCGCAGACAGTTGGAACAACCAGGGCTCTGGGGCACGGGGTGGGGAGTGAAGGTGTGTTGCTGGTCCTCTTTTTGGGGTGTGGGAATTTTACTTACCCCAAACGAGGCATTTTCACTCTTTAGGTAGAGTGTCTCTTAATGCTTGTGGGCTGCCCCTGAACTTGATTTCATTCAAGCGAGGAAGGAAAAGGTGGACTGAGGAGTAGTAAGATCAGGGAGGGTGGGTTGACCCACACAGGTGATGGTGAAGGATTTGGGTGACTAGAAGCTAATGAATGAACTAGTCTTAAGAATGCAGGAGACCTAGGATCCTGTCTGAAAGGCAGGATTGAGCCCTCCCCGGGAGAGACACACAGGTGTGGTGACCTCTTGATGACAGGTTCTAGGACTGTGGAAATATAGGGGCCTGCGCCAAGGCTGGGAGCCTGGGCTGGCGAACGGGTGCCACCACAGGCCCCAGGGCAGCACGCTCCTGCCATGTCCTGTGTTCCTGGCTCTCTGTGTGTGGTACCCAGGGGCTGAGTTTGATGACTCCACATCGGGACATCTATAAGCCCTTCACTTGCCATGTAGCAGTTCTTGAAAATGAAAAAACTGAACTGGACCATGAGGCCTGGTGCATGAGGCACTGAGATCTTGAGAGAGGCCAGTGACTCCTGTGCCTGGGAGGAGGTGGCCGAGGAGCCTCTGATGTGGGATCGGGCACCACGAGGATGGATGAGGAGGATGAGTGAGTCTCGTTTTGCTTATTTCCCTTGACGCAGCCTGTGCCCATTCCCTGCTCACCCTCTAAAGAAATCCAGAACATTGGACAGGGCTCTAGAGGAGAGTGTGGCTGGACCCGAGCAGACTGATCACTGTGTCTGAGAAAATACTCAAAACCCATGCTATTGTTGACAGCCGGTCAGCTAAACCATCGCCATCTGCAAAGGGGAGCACATGGTCCTCATCAGCATGGGCTGTGGTGTTTGGTAGTGAGGGACTGCAAGGCCAGTGGCCCCTCATGTTCATTTCCAAGAGGGGTGTGAGGGCTCATCTTGTTTACTGGGCTTGGCTGAGTGCAAGCTGGATGTAATTAAAAAAATTGATCAGGTTTGTGAAGCCTGGTAGAGTACTCAATAAACCGGCTGATTGATGAATTGATGGATAATGGGTGTATCTAGTAAATGAACAAGGGCTGTGAGTTTGCTGGATGCAAGACAATGTGTCATCTGGCTTAGCTCTCCATAGAGGGACGTGCCAGCCTGACTTTGAGAATTCCAGTGGCATGCACGGGACCTTGTCCAGAAATGGAACTGCCCTCAGGAGCTGTTGGAAAGTCTGCATAGACATCCCCTAGCTCTTCTTCCCCTTTTATTTCACTCCGCATTTTCACTAGTGAGACAAAACTTCATTATTTTCTCCCCAATTTTAAACACATGTGCGCGCGCACACACACACACACACACACACACACAAAATCTCCCCCCTTATCTGAATCTTCAAATACACTAAACTTAGCCTGCAGCAGGCTACATTTATACCAGGGTAAGGATTTTTTAATCAGATTTTTTTAATCCTAGAAGGTTCCAGTGCCAGTCTTTGCAAATCACTAAAAGCAGGGTGGCTATTTCCCTGTGTAGAGTGGGTTAGGTGGGACAGGAGCTCACAGCTGGCAGAGGCTGCCCTTCAAGGACTTGCTCCAGCCCTGGATTCTAAGGCGCACACATGGCTGGCGCTCTCCTTGACTGCCCTTTCTTAGATGGAGCTCGAGGCATTTGTCATCCTCTTGGTTCACCTGGGACTGTGCCTTCTTAATGCAGGCCTGAAGGCAGCAAGTGTGGGGACGTGTGTGAGGTCCTCGGGGGAAATGTGGAGCTGATGAGTCTAGGGGCCTCCTGGTCTGAGAGTTGTAACAAACCTCCCCCAGCCCCTTCACCCATGTCCACCCCTGCTCATGTGAAAGGCACTGCAGGATTTTGCTTGCCTCTCGGTGCCCCTTATTGCTGCAGTAACCACACCCCAAATATTGGCTCCTCCCCTTCTCCTTCTGTCCCTTTTCCACCAGGGCAACAAATCACATCTTGTGTCACCAAATATATATGTTTTGGCTTTGCCATACATGGTATTCGGGCTCGGATTGAGCTGGCGGATGTGGAAAAAAAAAATCACTAAAGCTCCTGAATAACGGTCTATTGCTAGCGTGTATGTTAAGAGCCCAGAAACAAAGAAGGTGAGGTTTACCAGACATCCAAACCCTCATTATGGCTTCTTCCTCATTAGTGAGGTCATTTTGGCTGGAGAGGGGGCTGTGGGTTGAAGATTCTATATCTGGATTATTATGGAACTGTCCATCTGTTTGAGGTGCCTTTGGGCCCGAGGTCCTCCATCCTCCACCCCTCCCTGTTCTGTAGAAGGGACTGGGGTGGGCTTGGAGGCGCTAATTAATCTCTTCCTGCTTGAGTCCTGGAGCTCAGCCTCATAGCTCTGACTCCAAGGCCCTGTGGCCGGCTGTCAAAGCCTGCCCCTCCCCTTGCCCCCAGTTGCTTCTATTTCTCAAGACTTCAGAGGCCAGCCTAGAGAACTTGCCCTGAGATTGTTCCCAGCCTCTCAGCAATCCAGGTGGTGTTCCTTGGCATTTTTGTTTCCCTCCCCCCATCCCTGCACACACACATTTTTCAAATGCCAGTTCTGTTGCTAAAGGAGGTCGTGAGGTTTCAGGTCCCCTCAGGGGGCAGCTCAGTCCAACTGCAATCTGTCCGCTACTCAGTGACCTCCCGGGTGGGGCTGGAAGGTGGTTATTCATGCAGGACGCAGGCATGGCTTGATGCCTGGCCTTGGGTTTTGGGAAGGAAAGCCTGCAATCACACTGGCTCAGCAGCTGCCTCTCTTCTGAAGAGCTGAGGCTCCTGTAATTTTCAGGGATCAAAGTGAAATCTGACAGCAGAGGCTACCTGTGTTCAGAGATGAGCTGCCCCCAGGTCTATGCTGCTAGGGGCTTGCTGGGAGCCCCTGAGCTACCTGCTCTGTCCAGAGAGAAGAGAGCTCCTGCCCTGCATGCTCTCGGGCTCTTTTCCTCCCTCTTCTTCGCCCCCTTCCCTGCCTTAATCGGATGATGCTGTAGGAAGCTCTTAGGAAGGGGAGTGTGGTAATTCTATTTCCGCCCGGCATCTTGCATAGTTACGGGGGAAGCCATTTTTTCAGGGTGTGAATGTGTGATGTTCCCCAGCGCCGGTCGGTTGGGAATGGATCATGGTGCCAGGAAGGGCAGCCAGCTCAGCCCGAGGCCTTGTCGTAGCTGAGCAAAGCAGCTGAAGGTGGTTGAAAATGCTATTAGCAGGCAGCCTTTGTCCAAGTGAAAAAATACACAGTGATTAAGAACTGAACTGCAGAAGGTGCATTCCAGAGACACCAAAGCTTTGCATACAGACAGAGTGCTTTTCACCTTTGAGACATTTGGCAAAGTTAACCCAAGAGGATCAGGAACCTTCAATTTCATGGACTGGGTTCACAAAAGTCCACCCTCCACCCTGACTAATCATTTCAGCTCTGTGGCCATCTTGATGGCTAGAAGCCTGGAAGAAGGTGGTCATGGAATCCTTCATTTCTAAAAGGAAATGCACAAAAGGAATGTCTCCCTTTTGTGCCATGCTTTAAGAAAAATCAACATGCTGCTTGACATGCTGTGGCTCTGTGCATTGCACTTCCAGATATTAATCAACAAAGCATGCACGATCCGGGTTACCAAGAGCTTTCGCCACTTACCTGGGACACTGATGCTATACTCTTTGGCTGGGAGGAGGGCTGTGGCTCAGAGAGTAACCCTGGGGGTTACTGGGGTTAGGTGGCATATTGGGGACAGCAGAGCCAAGCACTAGGGACTCAGGCAGGACCCTTCTCAATGCTAAGGGAGTAAAGACATCTCAGCTGCTGATGAGACTCTCAAGCTGACTTGCCTAGATGACCAAAGACCAAAGTTACAGATCTCAGGTCCACCCAGTCTAAATCCATGTTACTATGGGGATAGAAATCAACTGTGGTTGTCTCTGGAGGAGAAGGATGGAATTGATTGGAAAGTGGCATAAGGGAACTTTCCAGGACCATGGGGCATCGGTGACACTGGTGCATAGATTTGTTAAATTCATTGAACCACACACTTCAGATCTGTTCATTTTGCTCTCTGTAATTACCCTCAAAAGAAAAAAAAAATATTGGGAAACAATCCAGCTATCGCATCTCTGCTTTGAAATTTCCCACTCCTTATTCTTTTTCAGTTGCGGGTCCCGTGACTTTGCCTTTTGGCTCAATCCGGGGCTTCCTACTCCAGTGTAGGAGAAACCCGGTTCCTCTGCGAGAAGAACTGGAACTGGACCAATCGGGAACACTGTGTCTAGTGCCTTGATCCAAACTGATCACCTTGTTGTGGTTATAGGCATTTTTCATCCCTGCTAATGAAAATAGGGTTTTGCTGAATGGGCCTCACCAAATGACCTCAGTAGGCAAGAAGTGGGAGGCTCCAGAGATGAGCTGTTCTCTCAAGGAGACTGAAGGTTACCCAGGAGGAGATATGATGCTCGGGTTCATAAATGATGAGTGAGCATGTGATCGCAGGCCTGGGGAGGCCCTGCTGAGGGAAGCAGTCAGGAGCCTAAGAGCCAGGTAGGGAGGTAAGGGTCCTGGCTTGGGTTTGGCAGGAGGGGAGAAGTCAAGAACTTGCCTGAGTTCATCGGGTGACTTCCCTGGAGGTTGGTGCCCCCTGGCGCCCCTTCTCCACTGAACAAAACAA